ATTTTTCAAACACCTTCGTTTGATATGTAGGAATGTAGCTATGAACAAGTACGTACTAGTAATATTAGTTATTTTGTTATTAGTTTATTATTAGTACCTATGTATTATGTATTACCAGTTAAATAGTAAAATAAATACATATAATGATAAATTAACTGTGGATTATTTCATTTACATTGCGTTACGTGGCTTCCGTGTGGGTAGCTCGCTGTTTATTCCAAAATTAACAAAGTAGCTCAACACATTGAAGAGGTTGGCGACCACTGATCTACAGTGTATATAATATACCACCAAATATTAACCACAATTTTCTAGATTTCCTAGATGAAGAACTAATAACCCTCACAAGAAGTTTTTATCATGAGTGACATCAATATCAACATTATGGATAACTTCAGGTTAGTATCTAAATACACAGATATCCTCATCACTAATGGATTACAACTACTGAATGGAAATAAACCCAGTCGAAATACTCAAACACTGACTGACTATATCTTAATCAACTTGAATGTGAACCCATACATAGAACTCTGAATAATTGACATCCGTTTGAATGAACGTGAACTACATATCCAGAGAATGATGAAGATTCTCAAAGAGTACTTGAGAAATTTTATATAAACAAAATTATAGACGTAAAGCAAATGAAACAAGATCTCTTGGAGGTAGACGAAAAATTGCAAATTGACCTTGACCCTGATAAGAACTACAACAAAATAGTCATATGTTTGTTGAATAACACTAACTATCTTACACAGAAGAATAGATTCACAGAAAACTCAAAACCCTGGTTCACATCGAAAATTCTGGAAGCAATCAAACTACAAGAAAATCTTTAGAAAAAAAAGATATAGCTAGCTGAATAATTTTTCAGGCAAAAAAAATCCCAGAAATCTTTGAAAAGGGATATGAGAGATGCAATTTATTATTGCTGCTTCTCCTCCGGGAGAAGCAGCAATAATAAATGATGAATTGAATACGCCCAAGGCAGCAGTTCGGGATGAAATTTATGCAAGAATAGTGAAACTCGTGAACTTATCAACCAATGTGGTAAATATACAAGCATTCTTAAAATTACATACAGCTGATTATAAGAATGATCTAAATAATTACCACCCTATATCAGTGGTTCCAATAATATCGAAGATAAATGAAATGGTTGTTAATAAACAATTAGTAAAATATCTTCTGAAGGATCAAAGGGCAATGGGGAAACAAGAGTTTGCCAACCTTTTTGGTGCACACTTTAGTTCCACCTACCAGAGCTTTGAAAGTCAGGTTGTCAACACTGGTAAACAGAATCATGTAATAGGCAATTTTCAGTTTAAAGTAAATCACATTATTGCCATTAAGGTTAAGTCATTGCTTAATTGTTTATTGTCCTTAAGTGAATCACTAACAAATAAAAATCTATTCCAGTAAACATACCTTCACCCATATACCCATATCCAGTAACAGTGCATCTTTTTCCGGCAGCATGACTGACACCTCTAGCTGGTAAACAAACAAGACAAACACCTTCTTTCAATTCAGCCTGTCCTTGCAGTTTTAAGAGAGCTATGTCATTGTCAAGAGTTTGACTATTGTGATTGTGATGAATATAAGTTGTTGTCACTCTAAGGGTTTGAGCACCTGGACTACCATATTTTCTTGTCAAGTCGTGATCTCCTACTCGAACATAAATGGCATCACCAGAACGTACAATGCTGAAAAATTATCAGTTTCAGTTTTATTCATCTTGGAAGGTTTTGGCATTGACATTTTTCAATATAGTAGTAGTATATTTTCGTCTCACTATCATGAAAACAACTTTTGGAAGATTATTTTCCTAACACGCCTTGTTTGATTCATTATTCTTTGTTGTGTTAAAGAGTTTACACGTTACAAAATTCGTAAGCCTATGAATTAAGTCAAATGAAAGCAAATCGTTTAAAAAAAAACAATGCAGACCATGAANAGTAACACAAGTATAAATAGGTCAGATTTCTATTTAAGTTTTCAAATACAAAAGTTATGAATTGATACTTCATGTGACACAGAATATTATGTATTGTTATGTTACATTAGGTTCCAAATGAGGGTTGGGGATCACATCTATTCAAACTCAACAAAATGAGCCCAACTTGCTTTTATGATGTTTGAAGACAATATACTGTGATTAATGAAAAATGTATCATCTTCTTTTAACTGATACTTGGTGGATATGAACATTATATTGCATCACAAACCAAAACAGCCATTTTACGAAACGGATATATTAAAGTATCCTTACGTGTTAGGAATCACACGTTAAAAGGTAAGACCTCGTTAGTGCTTAGCTCGCCCAAGTTTCGACTATTAAGAGTTGTTGTTTGTAGAGGGGCGACAGCTGGTTAACAGAAAAACATATTCAACAGATCTTAAGATCAAGGGCTGAAAAGGCCAGAGAGGACAACTGCTCATTTTATACATTTTCAAAACTTTGACATTTCTTTTAGAGTAACAATAACACAAAATCGTGCATTATTGATTGTGAAGTCATTTTTGTCGGGATGCAAATGTATACACAAAGCTATTAGGTTGTTTCAAAAGATTTGTCCATTTTAATGTCATGTGTTTTTGTATTTCAATAATAATAATAATCTCTTTATTTACTCAGATTGATTTGTATAACCACAAGAGCAGAAGTACAAATGAAAAANTCAAGCCATTGATAAAACGCGAAAATTAAGGAGAATGTATTCATATGATAGTTTAACGGCAAAAACTAGTTTAAAATTATACTTTTCCTATCGTTTCATAATACTTCATTTTATTATCAAGAATTCTGAAGGAATGTAAAGAATTCAGTGGCAATCCAGCGTGACTTCCAGAAAGGTGGCATGCTCATGCCATTATCTTCCATTGTTGCCAGCAATTCCTAGACATATAAAATCGAAATTTTCAATTAAAATGCAGAAGTAGGTATATAAAAATACAGGATGAGAAACATTATTTTTTTCTAGTGAATTTAATGAGTAACACAAGTATAAATATCAGTTGACGAGGAAAAAATTTGAGAAACAATAGCATTTATGCATTCCTAATTAAAAATCTAATACAATAGCACGCAAGCACTTGATATTCCAGAAGTTTGTTTTGTAATAAATAACTCTGTAGCATCATCGACTGTTGTAAGTGCATTTTCCAAACAGATGGTAAAGCAAAAATAAAGTCTTGTTGATGAAATATTTTTTTGATTTGTCAAATATAAATAATTTTGTATTCTGCTGTTAATTTTTTTTACAAATTTAAATTTTTTGCTCCTTCTCAACTTACAACTATATGATGTCGTTAAGCGATTTCACACCAATTATTCTCTACGAATTCAAATTGAATTGAAGCCCTGCCGAAACAGCCTGAAAAATTAATCAGACATTTGGTAATGATAGTGTTTGGTTTGCGAAATTTCGTTCTGAAGATCTTAGTTTCGAACGTGTGCCCCGAAGTGGTCTACTTACAGTATCCCAGGACGAGGATTTGGGGACCCTGGTGAAGACTGACCCATCACACACGGTGATTGGGATGGCAGATGAACTGGGCATCAGCTCCCATGCAGTTTTTGATGGTATAAAACGACTTGGAACGGTCATAAAGTTCAAGAAGTAGGTGTTTCACAATTTACACGATCAACAGAAATTGTCTTGTTTCGAGGTCTGTTCTTCTTTCCTTTTGCACAACCAAAACTATCCTTTTTTGGATCGGATCGTCACGTGTGATAAAAAAGAGGATTCTTTACAATGGAGGCATTCAGGATAGTGGTTGGATACCTATGATTCACCCCGGCACTTACCAAAGGCGAGAATCCCCCAAAAGAAGATCATGGTTACTGATGGTCAGTGTTTGAGTCCTATTGTGAGGAAATCAGGGAAATGTACCGGAAATTGCGTCAGCAGCAGCCAGCACTGGTCTGCAGGAAAGTTCCGAACTTGCTCCACGACAACTTCTGTTCACACGTTTCACAAATCACCATCCGAAAATTAAACAGCTTAGGCCTTGAAGTTCTGCCTTAGCCACCATGCTCCCCAGACCTCTCGCCAACCGACTACCATCTTTTCAAGCACTTCGATAACTTTCTGAGTGGTAGAATCTTTGCCAATATGGAATAGGCGAAAACCGCCTTCGTCGACTTCATCGAATCCTGAGTATGTTGACAGAATCAATCGACTTGTGATACATTGGCAAAAGTGCATTGATTCAAACGGCGATTAAATGAATAAGAATTCTCAGAGACATTACAGTTCAAAGTAGACTCAAAAAGCGGACAATTTTTTTTAACAATCTAATAAATATGTTCGAATGTGTTTGCTTAGATTGCAGATTATATTCAGTTTGGTTGAGAAAAATTTCACAGAAATTTTTGTATGATACATCAACTTGGCTAATTTCCAATCTATTCATCAAGTGAAAAATCACGATGATAATTCACAGGAACTGAAATTATTTCTTTAATTGATTTCTCTGATAGGAACCTTACGAACATTTCTGACACTTCATGACATTATTCTGTACACCAGTTGAATGAGCTATATTAGTTGAATTCACATTGTTATAAAAATATTTTCAATGTTAGATACCTGTAGTGCATGTAACTTACTTTGTTACACAATGAGCAGCTGTTAAAACCCACTGTGTTCCAATGAGGGCAGCACCACACAGGTACTGATTCAAAGAATTAATTAGAGCAACCTGCCAACACCATTCAGCCTGTTCTCCATCTTCCCCTCCCACCACTCGCCCAGTCCTAGCAGTGCCTTTTACACCACATACATATTTACTATAAACAGGTGTCCGTGATGTGGTTGAGATCAATTTGGTAAATTCAGTTGCTGAGAACAAAAAAAATTGATAATCATATCCATAGTCAGTAATAAATTCATATAATAGAACTGTACAATTTAATCGAAACAAGGCTGATTTCTCATAGTAGCATATAAAAAACCCTGGGAGCCGGTCTTAAAAGTGAAAAAAAGCATAACAACTTTTTGGCAGATTCTCTTCATAACATTTTTCTCAAATTTAAAACTATTCAAAGCATTAAGAGAAATCAATGACCTACCAAACAAGGTGTAGTTGACCTCTAATCTCATTTAGTGCAAGTGATGAGGTTGAAAAAATGCCTCAGATTTCCCCGTCAAAATAAAAATTGACCATCCCAATCGATTTTTTCCTCAAAACACCAACTATGAGAAATCAACAATAATTATTTATTTATCGTCAAACCAGAACTGAAATATTGTTTGACAAAGATGAATTGAAAGATGCAGATTTGAACCTTGTGTATATGTGTATTTTTGCAGTATCTGGATAACTAAAACTTTCTTCTCAATAATACACAATTACAGTACCAGAAGACTGACTAATTAATTAATATCTATTAAAATTAGTTTTTTTGATTTGTCAAATAAGTGTTGAAAATTTGTCTTGAAAGAAAAATAATTGTTGCAAATCAATTATCTTGGTCACAGAAGTTTCAGCATTTGAGTTTCATTAGGAATTTCATTAGGGTAGCTGTACTGACTTGATATCAAGTTATCGGAACAACCCCTCATAAACAAAGCAAGGGCATGATAATTATTTGTCTTCAAAACAAATTTTCAACAACTAAAAATTACTGCAAGTGAGCCTGATAACTCGAAAGAGGTGGATATTATATTCGTTATATCAGCCCAAATCAGAATAAATACTTCAACTCACTGAAACATGTGAAGCTCAGATATGACACAATGCAAGATCCAGGACATTCCAATCGAGGATCAACTGTTGTACTAGTACTAGTTACTGGATAATGAGGTTTAGGTCTTGGCTTTGGTGCAGAAGTCACAGATCTCGTATTGTCGCAACAAACTGAACCTCTTTTGCAGTTTGACGTGTGTGGTATCAGCACAGATGGCCTTTCGCAAAATGCTGCCATGATGTTCAGTAAACAGAAGCCAGGACATACTGGACCTGGGTCTCTTTTAGCTGGTTCAGGAGTTGTAGTCGGACGAGGTTTAGGGGTTGGTTCTTCACTGGACTAAAAAAAAATTAGTAAATACCTGAGGGGAAAAAATAAATGAAGAATTTATTAAAATTTTTCTTAGAGAAACAACCATGAGTGATATCCTGATTGACGATTTGGCTGATGAAATTAAGAGTTGATTCATGTGGCAGTTTTGAGTTGTAAACAGAGAACACCTATGCTTTGTGGTTGTAAGTTGCAAGTTCTAATCTACTGAAAACAGTTTTCCCGCACCAGAACGTTGGTACTGATAGTACTGATCCTTTATAAAAGCTGGTTTCAATTATTTCCTAATGATATGCTAATTTGGTTAACGAAACGTAGGAATCAGTAGTTTCGTTCTGGTGCGGACAAAATGATTTCAATAGATTAATTCCATACCAGAGGTTTCAATTCGACCTATCATGCAAGTTCTAAGTTTTAACAATTCAGGTTTTCTATTTGTTACAATTAAAATCATACGAATCCTGCACACAAATGCACACAAAAGTATGTATACATGATATAATAATACCTATATCACATACCAGAAGTTTTTTCTTCTTTCTTGTATTGAAAATTGAAATATAAAGTTATTTCTACTAGATTTATCTGACGTTTAATAATATTCTTCTTCATTTTTTCTTTGACATTTGTTTCTTCAAAGTGAATTTTTCCAGGTCTACCAGTAAGTGACAAGTTTTTGTCTGCTGATAATTACTCGTATTGTTTTTCGATAATTCCGAAGAGACAATAATGTTATGTATGAGCCATTAACTTTTGAAGCTGATAAAGGTGGTTACATATGTAATGGCAAGTTCGACAGTCATGCTTTATCAATATTTTTGAACAAGCATGTATCTCTTAAACAGAAACCGATTAGTCGGGATTAGTGTGTCCCAATGGTGTGCTGAAAATAGTACAGTCCTTAAAATTTTATGGATCTGTTCAGATCAAAAACTAACGTGGAATAACCACATAGACGGTATATCTATCATCCAAACTAAGTCTATACTGTTCTGTTATGAAAAACATCCGTGTCCCGGTATCAGGGAAAGTCCTGAAACTACTATATTTTGGACGTGTATAATCAAATCTCGCATATGGTTTTATATTCTGGAGTCAAACACACAACTCTGATAAATTCTTCATCATACAAACAAAATTAGCTGTATGACTAATACATTGAAAACAGATTCATGTAGGAACCATTTTGTTAATCTTGGCATAATGACATTGACTTGTCTATATATTTTGTCCACAATGATACATACTATGAATGAAAATGATTATTTCACAGCAAGGACGGATATCCACTACCACGGTGTGAAGACAGGATCAATCAACCGTTCTCAAGATTGTCAATTAGACAAGAAAATCCACATTATATGGGGAAAAATTCTATAAAATATGAGATTTGGAACAGTTAAAGTACCTATATGAACAAAGAACTTCTCGCAAATAATTCAAACCAAATGTTGACTCGAAAATCTATTATTCAAATACAAGAGTTTCTTGATTAAAAATTCACAGCAACCAACATATATGAATTTTAATTATTTTTTACCATGTATTCAATAGGTATCGAAATATTTTTATATATTGGTTTAAAACTGTGAAAATTTGTGATTTTGACGTTTCTCATAATGTACGGTATCTTCATGTATATTTCTGTTAGATATCATAACATTCAGAGAAAAATGAAATATCTATCTATCTATCTATTGGTCCACCACCACACAGTTCGAAGGAGTTCTTACCATAATCAATTCAATCAATCCTCAAGATGCTAGTTACAATAAAGTGATATTTACAAAAAATCTCATAAGTATATTCGAGGTCGTTATTGGGAATTAACGGTTCAAAATTGTCATACAACTGCTGACTAATTATGAATTGGTAGGTATTATTTTGATAGTAGGTATTATTTTTTTTGAATCTCATAATATGATTTCATGAATGAACCTATTAATATCGAAAATGAATTTTATGAAAAGTCTTGCTGGAGCCAAAATGGCATTTGTTACCTGTTGCTATGATAGTTTCAGTTGGTACCTATATTATGGAAACGCGAAAATTAAGGAGAATGTATTCATATGATAGTTTAACGGCAAAAACTAGTTTAAAATTATACTTTTCCTATCGTTTCATAATACTTCATTTTATTATCAAGAATTCTGAAGGAATGTAAAGAATTCAGTGGCAATCCAGCGTGACTTCCAGAAAGGTGGCATGCTCATGCCATTATCTTCCATTGTTGCCAGCAATTCCTAGACATATAAAATCGAAATTTTCAATTAAAATGCAGAAGTAGGTATATAAAAATACAGGATGAGAAACATTATTTTTTTCTAGTGAATTTAATGAGTAACACAAGTATAAATATCAGTTGACGAGGAAAAAATTTGAGAAACAATAGCATTTATGCATTCCTAATTAAAAATCTAATACAATAGCACGCAAGCACTTGATATTCCAGAAGTTTGTTTTGTAATAAATAACTCTGTAGCATCATCGACTGTTGTAAGTGCATTTTCCAAACAGATGGTAAAGCAAAAATAAAGTCTTGTCAGCTGTTTTCATATATTGTTGTGGTTTCTTGTGAAAGAAATTCATTTTACCTATTCATCAGTTTCTCAAATCTACAATAAACGCACTGAAACATTACCCTTACAAATTTACAAATAAATAACACAAAACAACCCAAAACAATAAACATAACCCTATGTTCAACATTAATTTATTCCCATCAGGTGTCAACTGTTTCAGTAGCGCCATCATCGGTGGACATTTTTCCCCAAATTTTGAAGAAGTAGGAAGAAACTATACAAACCCTATTCGTTTATCACTTGCTTCTATGGATAGTACCATTGAATTATTCCATCTTTTCAGACAACGATAATTAGAGTTTGAATACAGTTAGTTTGATTATTTTTCAATAAAAATTAGATAGAATAAGGGGAAAATGACATTTTCAGAGATGACTAAAAGTCCTAATATTCCTCTGATCATAGTAAAACTCCAAGTCAGCTGGTAGTTTAACTATTTATTTTTATAAAAAACGAGTTTTTGTTCATATCAAATTTAGGTGTTCATAGAAAGATCACTTGAGATAATTGGCGTAATTCGGTTTCTACACGACTGCACGTTCCGGTTTTGTTTAGTAATTTGTAAATGTGGTCCTTCTATACCCTCATATGTTCACTACGACTTTCACAGAGGTTGTGATAGTGGTGAAATTCTCTATTGAAAGATAGTATAGAATTCCTTCTTACTCATTTACTTATGACCCGAAATAAATATCGTTATCTACTATGGGTATCGTCATATAGATACATATTTAATGAAACAAACACTTTTTACTTTCTCCTTCACTTTAACTGACGAAGTAAAAAGTATCAATACAATCTATTTCCAGGGTTCCGACAGTCCAAGTCTCTGCATATGATGATTCAAATGAAAGTGACCTGTAAGAAAGCCTGTTAGACATCGTAGTTCATCCCTACTGTAGTCCAACATCTGTTCGGTATCAAGCTTCGAAGGGTGAATAAACGCCTTGGAGTGAGCCATTCCTGGAAGATTCTCCCAGAAGTCCATAAATCTTCTTGCCCTCCAGGTGTTCAGTTTGTTTGGCAAAGCCTAGAGCGATGCCAATTACAGATTCTGATCCGATGAAGCTGCTTGCAGCACCCTCCATTGCAAGGGAGTCAGCAACTTCTTTGCCCTCCAGGCCAGTATGGTCAGGAATCCAGACCAGAGACAATCTGTTAAATTTTCCTATCGCGGAGTGTCGTTTTTGGCAATTTGCTACCAATTTAGACGTCGCTCGTTCACTTTCACTGTGAGGCAACTACTTAGTTGTAATCAGAACTCGAAAACAAAGCATTCATGAAGTAACACCAGACAGCGCCGATTCGATACACCATAGGTCTTATCAGTGGTGCTAGACTGGGCCACACATGCATTGCTGGATTCAACTGCTCTTGAAGGAAAAACCTCAGTAAGTATAAGAGATGACATCAACCCTTACGAAGGCACCATCTCTATAGGATCGACAGAATACTAATTCAACGAATATCTTTTCTTACCAATTACTTACTTGTGGAATTGGCCGCGGTGGTAGTGCGCCCGACTCACGATCGGAAGACCGTGGGTTCGATTCCCGCCTCGACCAGATATTTTTCTCGAGAGAATTTATCTGGTTGAAGCTGGAATGATTCTGCAACCGTGTTAGGAATCACACGTTAAAAGGTAAGACCTCGTTAGTCCCAAGCTCGCACAAGTTTCTCAACTTCTGAGAGTTGTCGTTCGTATGGGGGCGACAGCTGATTAACGGAAAAACAGACAGACTCACACTTGGTGACAGTTGGGGCGGGTTGAAATAGTTCTACCGTGTTGGATCTTGAATATTCTGAATAATACTTACAAGTTCTCACCAGAAAGTATATCTAATAGTAATAACTTTATTCGCAAGAGTGAGAGTACATTTTTTAAGGGAACAAGTTAAATCAAGTGCTTAGGCGATAAGTGCTACTGCACTTGTTTCGCAAACAATTGATAAGTATAATGTAATGAAAATAATAAATAAATGTATAGGTTTGATTGACTTGAATAATCTGAAGTTTAATACATATAAAGTTTTACATGCTAATTAATTTATTATGATTATCATCATCTATGTTCTGTCAACGTCAACAGTGACAATGAACACATGTATTCATTGTTGTATTTCTAGCACACATTTCCATACATATGATCGCACAACAGCTATAAATCATAATTCATTTTATTCTTTGTCACAACTAACAGAAGTAATGCAAGGCTAAGACACCGCTTCGATAAATATTAATGCTGTCTTAGTTGAGTGCACTTCCCAGACTGTCTGTAATTTTATTTTCGATGCCATACTCAATCAATTATAAAACACCGAACTCTCCATCTCCAATGATGTAACGAATGTATTTATTATTTGTTTAGTGAGTCAATAACGGTTAACATCCGATTTCATTTTGAATTATGCAAATGGTTTTCCCACATTCAGACATTAGCATACCCGTTATTGCTCTTATTTTGAGAAATATGTCTGTCACTGACTGATTTTATGGTATAAGGGCACAATTCAGGTGTTTTGTAGTTTAATATTCAGTATGTCTATCCACTGGAAATTGTTCATTAAGAGGACAACTGAACAAAATAGATATGTATAACAGAGACCTCAGCTGTAGATTTCCAAGTAGTAGAAAAATATGCAGTATTGTTTTATGAAGTACTCGTAGTTTCTATTTGGATATCTAATATCTCCCAGACTTTCCGACGGAAACGAAATACGCTGTTAGTACTATGACAAAAATTATGTTGGTCAAACGAAGCGGACTACGATAACTAGTTTGAAGGAAAACGATTCAAGGCCGGAGCCATTTTCCCGGTTTTTTGAACGTGGTCTGTAGGTTTCATGCCTGACGTTTTGTCTACGACCGCGATAGTCACTATTACAGGCGATGAGGCAAAAAACGAAGTGTTCCGATTGTCCTGATACAACAGGCTTCTAGACACATTTGAAAGTAACAAAGATGATATTTCTATGAAAACAGGTGAAAAATAATAAATATTGATGGACCACTTAATATAGAATTATTGAAGAAAATGCGGACCTAAGCAGAAGAATGTCGACCTATTATTTCTATGGATGGAACATACACGCTACATAACATGATAGGTCTGAAAAACCCTGTAAGTGGAGGGCAACGTCTGCTCCTAATACATGTGAGTGGTGAAAATGAGTTTTGTGCCTAATGCTTACCTATATTAGATGGAAATCAAATTTCAATACAGGTGATTATTACAACGAGATGAATTGTGATAATTATAAGGGGTATCGGAACAGTTGATTCCGAATTTTCTGTTGAGAAGCGTTGTGGTGATCGATATTGCACCATATAATAATGAACAAATCGACAAAATACCAACGACATCGACCAAAAAATCTTATACGAAATCATGGTTATAGGTAACGATCGTTATAGTTTATAAAGTGCTGAAAACTTTTCATTCATCAAATACGTGGTATAATGATGTACAAAATAAAGCTGGAAAATTATTATTTGTACAAATCCGATTATAATTGGGTTAGAGAAAATTAAAAGGTTTGTTTCTATTATTGATTTTGACATCTGACAAAAATTAAATCATTCCATTCTGGCGAATCTTATTATTAATGACGTAACTACGAATCGTTTTTTAATACTCGTTCGAATATGATTAAACGCCAGAAAACACCTCTACTTTTCTCCAACGAAAAATTTAAAATATTCAATCTGGTTCGGAAACATGTTTTCCATAGTTGCTCATTTTGATGGCGAACTTCAATTCCCACCTCAAAAACTGTCTGTGTGTGTGAAATAGGGAAAATGAACTTACATCTGAAGCCGTTATGCAGCAACTTCCTTGATTTGGACAGTCTGCTTCTGAGTCAATGTCATCACAAAACAAACCTAATATTCCACTAACACATTCTCCACTACACTCTTTTAAAATCTGCGGTCTAACCGTGGTCGCCACTGTTGTAGTAGTTTTTTGAACGTGAGTTGTTGTATATGTAGGTTTGGGAGTTGTCCTTGTTTCGATTTTGGTGTAGTTCGATTTCGTTTTATTTGGGTAAATTGAATTCGGAGGAATTTTACCATCGAATGTCACACTTGAAACACAACACTTTAAACCTGGTTTGCACAAATCCTCGGTGTTCAGGATTGCTTCACAGTAGTTGGCTATTTTTTCGGCAACACACACCCCTTTATACTGGCTGCTATTACAAGCATAATCTGTAAAGAACATATTAATTATGATTATTGAACTTTCTTTGATGACTATTGAATTTATTACCTTGCTCGTGGATCTGTGTAGAGTTAGACTGTTTTTCAGCTGCCATCTGAAAAATAAATAATAATTTGAATTACGTGAAACACAGTTTCCTAAATGGATGATATATATTGAAAACATGCCTATAACTGAGGCATTATTATACTTTTTCAACAACAAACTCAATTCTAATTTGAGGAAATTTGCCAAGGGCTTCAAATTGTAAAAAAAAGTCATGCATAGTGCTTGTCAATTGATCGAAAGAGACCTAGGAAGGGACTTCAGAATTCTCATAACCTACGCGTTCCCTGGACCATATCGAAATTTACAAAGCTCTTCCTTCGTTTGACAACCCGTACAATGACAAGAGTGCCTTAAGGCACTCTTAGAGCGGTGCCTGTGTGAAAGTAGCGATTCACGTTGGATTTGAATGGCTGGGTATTAAATTCATTTGGAAAAAAGTTCTGAGGAAGTGTATTTTACATAAATGCAGTAAATGAGCAAGATGAAACAAAAACTGTGTAAATAAGTGTGTAGGTATATATCTCTGAATATAATAACCAAAGGCGGATCTATGATGGTAAAGGAGCTTTATGATTATTGCCTCACGTTGTATATTCAGTGACAAATTTGGGTCTAGCATCGAAAGGAAATAATTTAGGAGACTTATCAGTAAAACAGGAATAACTATTAATCGTCGATATGTATACTCATTGTGTTTTCATCCACTACGAATCATTTGTTGATTATTTACTGATATCAATCACATGATGATTATTTATTAACGAAGTACACATACAAGATATTGATCAAACTTTCTATGCATCGCTTACTGAAACCTATTCACGACCCCCTATGATTGAAAATTGATAATTGAAAATATGTGACAATGTATGCAGTAATTTATAATTCGATTCGAGTGACTCAATTAACCTGCACAGTTTTCAGTTTTTTTAAAGGGATGTGTGTGAAATACGAATTACTACTATTTCATTGTTTAAAATAACGACAAAACACACATCATGTTGGGAGTTGAACACAAAAATATTGAGTAGAACAACAAAAATTCTTTTTCAAAAATTTATCTATGGATTGAAACTTCTTAGAATCAAATGTATGGATACAATATATAATATAAGTGAAGCAGTGAAAAATATATGAGAATATGTAGTTATGAAACGTTATGAAAACATTTAATGAGAAACTGGAGAGAATTTACCTTGACGTAAAATATATAAAAAAATCAATTTTGGAACAGCTTCAGAGATCATATTAACTCTAAGGTGACTCGCATGCCATGTATACCCAGGAACTCCGAATTTTCACTTCTTACACTTTTATCAGACTATTTAAGAGTATTTTCTAGATACACACCTCCACACAAAAGTTCTAAGTGAACGGTTTCACTTACTGATAAATTTACAATAGTGATTTTCTTTCATACTACTTCCATTACTATTCAGAAACTTGAAGCATACAATATAGAGTCCAAGTACCATGGAATTATATACTGTCTCTTCGAAACGTGAAAGTTGTAATTACTATTACAATAGCAATGGCGGTGTTATAGAAATACTATCGAAAGAAAGTTATACAAAGAAGTACAAAATTTATACCTGATTTGAGGTAGTTGTCGGTGGCATTGTTGTGCTAGATATTGTCGTAGGGATGGTTGTTGCTTTAAGAGTCGTTGTTTCTGGTATCGTTTCGTCTTCGGATGGTGAGACATTGGTGGTGTTAGGTGCTGGCGGTTCAACACAGCATTTCATCGATGATGAAGGGCAAGGTACATCTTCTAATACATCGTAACAGATTATCGTTGCTAAGGCGTGGACACATACACCAGGGCAGTCTTTTGAATCGGCAGTGCTAGTAATTGTGTCCAGAAGTCCTGAAAACAGAGATAAACAGAAAACAGATATGATATATTGTCGTCAATGGACAACATTCAATGACACGTTGATGCAACAGAAACTTTAAATACGTACTAAATATCTAAAAATGAAATAATTTCACTTAAAAATCCACAAATCCACATTTTAAAGTGGAAATAGTAGGCAATTTCATTTCAATAGATGTTATCTGCATTCATAATCCATGCAAGAAAAAAATCAATTGTCTGACATTTATTTGAAAATTTTTCAGTAACATATTTGAAGTAAGACAAAATCTTCAAGGTTGAACTGATATTACTTCGTATTCTTGAAGGATTTCATTATACTTTCAAGATTAATTTGCTGCTGCATACAAATTCTCACCGAACAAATCGAGCTTCGAATGAACCTTTAACTTACAGCTAAAAACAATTCAAGTATACTATATACATTTGAAAAACTAATACAATATAGCAGCTACTGGTTTTACATGAAAGCAAAGCATAAGTAAAATACACACAAGTAGTCGTAACTGCGTGCAAACACTCACCTTTTATATATGCAGTTTCAATTGTAAAAGGGTTATTTTTGAATAACTCTATATTCGAATTTTATGAAGAAACATATTTCTGACCACTCCGTATTTCAGCACCCTTTTATCGATTTCTGCTAGAAGGATATTCATTGTAAACAGAACTCTACTCAGAATAAGTGGATAGTTCGCAGATAATCCACTAGATGGTTCGAGCAGTAGCATGTATCCTTTAGTAAATTTGGAACAGTTCCAGAGATTTTGTAAGCACGAAACTTCATTTATTCGATATTTCCAGTAAATATTTTGAATCCTTCCAACTCTACAGGGGCAGTCACAAGTAATTTTGAAGTAATAATAATAATAAAAACAATGACAATAATAATGATGATGTAGAACAACGCCACTCACCAGAGGTCACAGCAGTGAAGAGCTGTCTCGGCGGCAAGTTTCAGCACAAACTCCGACAGATCTGGTCATCGGAACTGTCGGGAAAAAATAAAGTTTCTGCTACGAATATGCTTGCCATTCCGATCTTCTCTACTTCTTTGAATTAGTGAAGTGAACTCAGGGGAGCTGTATCAACTCGATGTAAAGATTCAAAAAATGCTGCATCTCCATAAAAGTTTGCATCCCAAATCGTCTGATTCACGGTTGTACTTCCTCCGATAACAAGGAGGTCGTGGACTTTTGGGTTTAGAGTGTTTACATGAAAGAATGGTACTGGATGGAGCCTGTAAAGTCATCAAGACTACCGATCCCCTTTTCTGCATGGCCGCGACCATGAGAGAGCAGGATTTGGAGCATTTCTCTTCAGCTGCCCGAGCAGCTGGTGAACTCGGTTTAGTTTTCGACACTGAACGAGGTGATCACCGAGTTGGAACCCGTTCATCAATAGGCTCATATAAAAGCAGCAAAGATCACTTCAACACTGCGGCAACACAAGAATAAGCCAATGCATAGGGTTTTCTTTAACGACATGGAAGGCCTGGGCTAATCAAAGCACCTGACCTTTACTTTCCTCAGGTCGAATGGGCTGAAGTCGGTTATTACCTAATCAACATGGCCTAAATCCTCAGTCTACCGTAATCGTGTGATGGGTTCAGAGGTTCCTGACACAAGGTGCAGGGTCTGCTACAAAGCGCCTGAGATCTTAATGCACTTGTTTTCAGCATGTCCAGCATATGCGGCCCAATCCTATATTCATCCATATAAAGCGGTCCTAAGAGTGCCTAATTACCATCGACGACACTTGAGAGAGAGAGAGAGCGCTGTTGCCTTATAATGCGCTGCGGGGAATGAAAACTGATTAACGGAAAAACAGANAAATAATGCCAGCTTCATTATGTATTTTCATATTGAGAAGTTCACAGAACTTTTTTATTCAAAATCAAATTTTAAACACAAATAATTTCGGAAGTAAATGAAAGTAGACGAAACTTCAGAGACTACAATTCTATAATGAAGTAACTAAATGTAACTAAAAATAGTTAGAATCAAATTTTTCATATATACTGATTCGAAATGTAATTATCGAAAAATATGACGGAAAGGAAAATGTTATTGGTTTATTAATAATTTAAGTACGTTATTTTCATTGTCATGTCATATTTCAACCTTCTTGACATTCCTCTGTATCTTTTATGAATATTATTTTGCATTCATTCATTCAGTGGATCCACGAGCAGGGAGAAACTGAAATTATCCAGAGATTCCTTATACTAGGCATGCTGTTTATATAGCGGTTCACATCCAGAAATAATATATTGCGACACTGGAGGGGCCATAAGCTCTTGGAAGCCTTGAATTTAGAGTACGATATGACTTACATGAGCGCAAAAGTTAAATATTTGGGCAAATATATCATATAAAAACAGTGATATCTTACATTTCAATGAGTTTTTCAAACTATATAGCTAGAACGACTATATAGCTAGAACACACTGACGTTAGGTAATCCGTACAATGTATTATTTGCGAACAATACAAAAAAGAAGAAGAATTAAAAAGTTCGTACAAACGAAATTACTATATGAACTACCTCCAGGAATCTTTGATGAATTCAGTGGAAAAATTGGATTATATACAAAATTATCTCTCATGAATTAAGCTTCTGTTTTATTGAATTTATTATTTATTTGAAAAACAATTCAATCCATGCAATCTATGAATAGATTTTGGAAAATTATGCACCCTTCAAGGCCTGTATTGCAAGGGGTTCAAGCTAGGAGTGATTTTATAGTGATCATTTCCTTCAAAGCGATGGAATGATGACAAAAGTGAAGGCCTGACCACCAAAACAAACTGACATCCACAAAATTACCATTCAGGTGTGATTATTTTTGAATAATACGTGACTTCAAGACCTAGTTATGCATCATTCTCACAATTTCAGTCACTGTCCTAATTAAATCGAATCAATGAAATCAAACATTCAAGCATAAAGGCTTCTACAGAAACTGAAAGTTTCAATTTGCTTTTATGATGATGACAGTGATTAGATTCTAACTCTACTGAGACAACTGAAACGAATATGTGAATAAACTAAAACTTGCCAATACAATGAACAGATACAATAAACCGAAATGATAAATGAAGAGCCACACTTCACTGCTTCACATAACCTCACGAAAAAAAAAACAATACTTCAAATCAAACTTCATCTTAAATACCAACGATTTATATATTTTATCCCGAAATCTCTATATCATAATCGAAACTCATTCGTATAATAAAAACATTTTAAATTCGAAACGTTATTCTGCATTCTAATGAAATCGAACAGAATACGAGACATACTGCTGATGCATCTCATCGCTAGCCGCGTCAAGTAGATCGGCTACTGTTGAAAAGTACGAGCTTAGTCATTTACGTACTCTGTTCATATATACAAACATTGTACAAAGTTTGCACATCCCTAATTTTCAAATTATTTGTGAGCAAATGATTTGAGTGTATGATAATTTGATGAAATTTTACAGGAGAATATTTGCTCAAAAGCACAATTTCAAAATGGGATTACATGCATTTTGATAGATTGAACTTGATGTACGAGAGATACATGTTGATTATTTCAAAAAAAAAAACGCTAATCAGATTTATAAGATACCTACACGTGAAGTAGAAGCACTTATTTATGATCATTTCAATCGGTTTAATTAGTCCGAAACATTAAATCGCTCTAAAACTCCGCAAACACTGCCTTGCATTCAACTCTCTTATCGTTTTTATGGATTGTGAGAAATAATCTCAGATAAATAATTGTCAATTTCATTCCACATACTGATAATGCCCAACAAGCTGAAACAGCTGTGGCTCTTGAATTGAAATCAAATTGTGTTCAATGGGAATAGTACTGATCTATTCAACTATATATTACAGTGTGGGTTTCACATACGGTGGAATAGGCCTTTACATCATAAGACGAGCGCAAGCGTAGCTGTCATATTGAAATGGCGGTTATTCAAAACATTCGTACTGTTTTAATCAACAATGGCTTGGCACGGAATATTATCTCGACAAACAAATACATTATTGGAAAAAACCATTGATGGTGCTTCACTCGTTAATAATTCAGTTGTGGCTCATAATTGTGAACAATTAAAAAGGTGGTTAAAACGTCATGGGTGTCCGCAAAAAGGAAAAAAGTGAGCTGATTGAGAGGTTTGGAAAATTTATAAAATAGTATGTGTTGGTTTTGAATGATTTGTATCGTGTATCACTGTCTGTGTAGACAATTTTGAATGAAAATTGCCTACACAGCCTTTCAAATTTAACATTGAACTGTTTGTTGGATATATTAGACTGTACATCCATTCGTCTAGTCAGAAGACGAATTGACTTCTACAGAGGTTGAACTTACTGCTGTACTTTTCTTAAGGAAATTCGAATGCAAAGTTTTGGCCAAAAATGGAATACGTATACCGAAATCATCTCCTCATTCGCTGAAAATTCCAGTTGCCTAGTGATTGCAACATAATACCTCATACGCACAAAATACCTCATTTGCAACAAACTTTTCAAGGTGAATAGGTAAGTTGAAATGATACTATTTCTAGAACAACTCAAAACCGTTGTCACTTGCATTGTATCGTGAAATTTTGGCAAAGCAAACAAAAGGGAATTACAGACGAATGAACTGTCAATGTAAGTTTCTGTTGAACAATAAACACCTTGTCATCTCAACCTTGTATTGTGTTGTTTTAGCATTTTCCGCATAACCCAAAAAGTTGGTGAAGCGAGTGGAATTAGAAGGATAGAACGGATAACAAAGTTAAAGATTTTTCCCCTTATTTTTATCCATTAATGCGTCGAGCTACTTCCGTGAAATTTATTGGTCCTTCGAGACGGATAAGTTAACACTCCTGAAGCTGTTTTACTATAAATTGGCCAAAAGAAAACAATACTTTTTATAGGTGCGTGGAGTCTGTTCGCTAATATTTCATCGGTGTACCAAAAAATCTATTAAACTGTTTTCTTTCTTTA